ATAGATCAAATACATAAATATAGTTTTATTAGCCTAGTATTCTAACCAACAGATAATTATATATATTCTAAATTCTGAAAAGCAGTATCATTCATATAGGAAGTGAATTAAAAAAACAAAATAGTTACTTTTATTATTCCCTTTTGTAATATTTAGAATTTATATATAATGCGGTCATATAGAAATTAAATCAACAGTATCTCAAATAATAAAAGCAATAAAAGGAGCATATTCAGTGGTATTGAAATCCGTATTGTCATAGTGAATGTTCTTAGATTTATAAGATTAATGTGTCATCACCAGATTTAGGGAGTGATTTAGATCATCGAAGTTTCTGGAAATCATTTTAGTGAGGAGAGTTCCCTTTATCTTATTGCAACCACACAACTTGCAGGAGCATCATGAGAGCATTCACTTCAGCTCAAAACATATGAGTTTATTAGCCTAGAAATTCAGACCTCCTGACTCATCTACAATATGTATTTGAGTGAGTTGCTGTTATGAATTCAACCTTTTGGAACTTGCCACCTCTCTTTTCAATTTCAGTGTTAGACTATTCTGTTGCTTACTTCTCATCATAATTAATTAATTTATAAATAATTTATACCTCATCTTCTCCCAAGAAAGGATTTAGGGAGGCTGCATTTCCCTAGGAAACTCCCATAAGTATGTAATGAGGTGGAGTTCAGTATCCTCTGTGTTCTCTCTTGGTGGCTGGAAGGTCACGCCTCCTTGTCTGGGAAAATAGTGCACCACAGCCTCCTTTGCCAGAACCCCTCTTCCTCCCACTCTGCCTGGCTCACTTTGGGGGGTGGAGTGGGCTGATTGTCCTTGTCCTAGTTATTAGGGACACAGACCAGGTTCAGATTCTGTTTCTTCCACATACTAGCTTTGTGGTCTGGGGCAAGGTACTTCATCTCTGAACCCATATTCTATCTTTACAACAGGGATAATAATTGCAGTTATCTTACAGGGTTGTTCAGAGGATTAATGAGTTATTATGCGTAGAATCTAAGAAAAATGCCTGGCAGGTAGCAGGCACCACTGGAGTGCTAGCCATTGTTATTCCACACCCTTCTGTTCTCAGCTAAGATGCTGTTTCTTTAAAGAGGCTTCCCTGCGACAACACCTCAAGCCAATGCTGTAGGACCATAGGAGCCTGCACTTTTCCTTATGAGTCTCATCATCATTTGCTGTTGGTATTGAAGGCACCATGAAGTTGTAAGCTCCAGAAAGGCTAGAATCTGTCTGCCTCAACACTCTATCTCTGACATTTGGGATAGTGCCCAGCACAAAGCAGTCACTCGGTTACTGTTGAATGAGTGAATCCAGGGAGTACCTGTCTGTAAACATGCTAACTGAGATGAGGTTACAAGTAATTATTTTGTTAGTTTTGCAAATTTTTATTTTCTAATTTTTAACAATTAATATTTGCTTTCTTTTTTTTTTTTTTTTGCGGTACGTGGGCCTCTCACTGTTGTGGCCTCTCCCGTTGCGGAGCACAGGCTCCGGACGCGCAGGCTCAGCGGCCATGGCTCAGGGGCCCAGCCGCTCTGCGACATGTGGGATCCTCCCGGACCGGGGCACGAACCCGCGTCCCCTGCATCGGCAGGCGGACTCTCAACCACTGCGCCACCAGGGAAGCCCCCAACATTTGCTTTCTTTATGTAATAGTAAAAGAAAGTAAGATTCTGTTATACCACCTTTATTGTGCTATTGTAAGTCACTTCAGTAAGGCAGCAAAGGGGCTGTAGGACAGAATTCATGTTACTGACCTCAGGTTCAGCTTCTCGCCACTCAAAAGCCAGTATTCAAGAGACAGGTGTTGATTGGAAAAGGGAAGGTTGCTTTATTCAGGAGGCCAGCAACCTGGGGAGAAGGCAAACGCATGTCCCAGAATCAACTTTGAAGATTCTGCTTGGTCATGAAAGTTCTTAAAGGGAAAAAGGTGAAGTATTTCGTTAATCATTGAGGAAGGGGGTCAGACTCGTGTCATCTCCCACAGTGTGCAGGCTTGTTTACTCCTTGTGATCTTTCTTTAGGTGGTATCTTGTTGACACCATCTGCTCATGAGATTACTAAAGGGGAAGCTGGCCAAAAGATCTATTCATCTGTTAATTACGTATTCTTCATTTCTACTTCTTTAAGGAAAGAATCAATAGGTTAGGCAAGGCATTGAGTGATCAAAAGATTTGAAAGGTGTGCTTGGGATGGAGGTTAGTTAAGCATGGGGGCATCTGGTGTAAAGACTGGTTAAAATATAGCTTTACTAAAGTGACAAGACAAAAGGCCTCCTGCAGAGAGCTGCTTCCTGCAAAGAGCTACTTATATTCACATTTTTTTGTGTGTGGAACTTTGAAGTTGATTAGTGGTTCTCAATTGGGGTGATTTTGTCTGCTAGGAGACATTTGGAAATGTTTGGAGACATTTTTTGGTTGTCTCAGCTGAGGAGGTGCTATTGGTATCTAGTGTGTAGAGGCCGAGAATGCTTCTAAACATCCTGCGATGCACAGGACAGCTTCTTCCCTTAATGAAAACCATCCAGTCTGAAACGTTAATAGTGCCAAGTTTAAGAAACCTTCACATAGGTGGATGGAGACGTCTACAAAAATTGAGTTTGTGTAACTTTCAAAATTGGCTGAGCTAAGTAATAGAACATCAGAATTTTGAAAATTAATACAATTGATTGTATTTTTTTTTAATTGGCAGTTTGTATTTGCTTTGTGGTATGATTTGCTGGTAATTAAGTAGAAATGAGTATTTAATGTAGTATGTTCACCAATATCGTCTGTGTCAGTAGAGAACTTTATAGTGTGCTATATGGGGTTTTCCCTTTACATCCAATTGAAGTGGTTTGAAAAGAAAAGTGTCAACTGACTGCTTGTTTACACACTTCTAAATGACCAATTTGACAGAATTTTTTTTAAGAGAGCAGTTTATGAGTCACTTTAGCTAAAACTGTTGGGCATTGCATACAAATAACCATATTGTTTACAGATTGTTGTTTTATAGCTCTGGACTAATAAAACAGAAATAAGGTAGGGCTCTTTAATGTTTATGGAGCTTGGTCTATTTGAATTTGAGTTTAACATCTGGGAGCGTATCAGCCAGGACAGGCTAGGTTATGCTGCAGTAACAACATCTCAGTGGCTTAACCCAACAAAGGTTTATTTCTTCTTTGGAGTCCACTGTGCATCTGCATGAATCTCCCAGACAATTGACCCTGTTTGACAACTCATGCTTCCAGGCTGAGGAAGGTACCATCATCTTGGAACATACGGCCTTATTAGTCATGTGGCAGGGAAGATAGAACATAGGAAATTGCAGGTTAAATCTTTAGTGTTTTCACCTGGAATGGACATAGGTGACTTCCAGTCACATTTTCTTGACCCAGCAAATTACATGGGCAGATTTAGGCAGTTGGGGAAGCTTAATCCTCCCATGTGGCATTGGAGAAGGAGAAATTCCTGAGTGTGAGCTGACCTAACTAGCTTTCCTATTTGTTTACCTTTATATGTGGTTATTCAGGATGGTTATTAAGAAGGTATTTGCTAAGTGCACAGATGCCATATCTCACACCAAATTATTCTAATTTCATTACGCTCATTTGGGGTCTGTATTTATATTTCACTTAATGTATTTATAATTTGCTTCTAAATGTTTGGGCTTCTAAATGAGAGTCTGTACCAGATGCTACAGTCTCTGGTTTCTCAAATGGGCTAACACATTCCGTAGGGTATTGAATGCTAAAGGATAAAGATGGTGGCCTTTGCATTTTACATAATGGTAAGTAATCACAACATACTTTTTGTGGTAAAACAAAAACAAACACACCTCAGAATGCCAAAAAAATGATGAATTTTTAAGAGAAAATATAAGACCTCAGTGAAATTTTATGCTGAAGCAGGTTGCTTATAGCTATGTCTCAGAGGAACGTATGTCCTTTCCTCTGCAACAAAGATTACTTCACTGGGCAGGGTTAAGAAACGCTGCTTGTGCACCTACTTTGTTATTCAACTTTGATTTGGATATTTCCTTAGTTGTCTACATTTTGGTAGAAATGATCATATCATGTTTTTGAAAGTGGAGCTCCTTCAGGAACCCATTGTTTTATTCATCATGAAAATGAGGTTTTCTTTTGCAAAGAGGAATTCAGAATTTCTATTCTGTGTCCTACTAGTAGTTAGGTAGGAGAAACTGGATAATAAAATCGACCATTGTGTTTGTTATTCTAGACCACCTCATGGAACTGTGGGAAGATACTGAACTATACCCACTCTTCCTCATTTTACCGTGTGATTCTATTTATGGTTCATACTACCTATAGCTATTTGAGTCTGTATTCATTCATTCATCAGACAACTTGGGAGCATCTACTGTGTGTGACTGGCATTGCGCTAGGTGCTGAGGGTTAGGACAAGATGAGTAAGACAGTTCTTACCCTCAGAGACCTTGTGTCTAGGACATAATGGCTACAGGGGTTGTGAAAAATCTCTCATTCATTTCACATATATTTATTGTGCACTGGCATGTGACAGGCATCCAACACTACAGCGAATAAGAAGCAGTAGAGTGTAGTGTAGAAGAGCCAGACAGCCTGGAATCAGATTACATTGTGGGGCTTCATGGAAGCTCTTTAACCACCTTATGCCCCAGTTTCCTCATATGTAAAATTGGGGTGATGCACAATTTACTGATGTTATAGAATTCTTAGGAAGATCCTATGAGTTGGTATATATAAATCACTATGTAACTTTTAGCTCCTACTATTATTCGTCACATTTTTTCCCTCATGCTTTACTCCCTCCTCAAATCTATATTCTTTCCCATCTCTCCTTTCCATTCCCTTAGACCAAGCAAGCAGTCCCAGTAATGAACCATTAATTTGAATATTGTAGTTTATCAGTAACCTGTTAAAAATACTGCCTGTTAAAAAAACAGTGAAAAAAATATAGCTCTAGCATTTTCTATAACCCTTTCTTTTGTTTGTTTCTTTGTAGTCATGAAAAAAGCCATTGCAGATCACATTCTTCAACGGACTTAACCAGGTAAGATGTTTGATCCAAGGGCAAGACAACCCCAATCAGAAGTTGTGTTTTGCAGGAGCCTCTTCCACTTTGCCAGATGCTGAAAGTCTGGAATGTCTCCTGTCTGCCCCCATTACCAGGGCCCTATGCTTGTTCCACGAGCATAGGTGGGCATTCATCAGGGGGGCACACAGTTGTCGACAACCTGCGGGGCTACCTTGGCAGCAGAGCAGCCAGTACCGGCAACTTAAGAATTGTATACTGCCTTTATGAAGTGCTTTGCCAGTGTGGTTTAACTTTGCAAAGAAACAGGTGTGGAGAGAACTCAGTGGAGATCCATTCTTTGTCAGCATTTGCATTTTATAGGCAGCATACATATACATTTCCCATTTCTACAGTAATATGGCTTTAATCTTAACGAATGCCATTTTGGTGGTTCTCTTCAGAGAGCGGAATTAACATTCACATGTGAACAGAAAATGTTAAAGTATTATTAGTCTTCTGAGGGTTTTGCTTCTGGCTATGCAGTTTTAGAGATTTCATCTTGGTTAAGGGGAAGCAAAATACCACCATTTCTGCTTCTTAGAAGGAAACTCTCCAAGGTTTCTGCCTATTTCAGGCCAAGGTTTTGATTTTTCAAAGCAGAAAAAATGTTTTTTCCTGGACCCTGAATATAACCTGAAGTCAAAAATCAATTGAAAAGCCAGCAAAAAGTTGGCCATGAGTGCTGTTAGAATCCTTTATTGGTAACAGTTTTCTGGTTATTACTAACACATTTCTTAATTAACTGCCTATGTCGTTAATATAGTTCTGTGTAATTTTAGAAGCTCTATTTTTTTGGTGCTTATATCTTGCTTCGCTCCACAAAGAGTGTAAGTTGACAAACCCCATTTTGCGCTGATGAGATCTTGGCTTTAAGAGTCATATAAAATAATGGGTTTAGAGTACTGTTTAATTCCATGCCTTTGCTGCCCATCTTTTCTCTAAAATACGGAGCCCTTCTTGCTCAGCTACTCTCCAAGCCGTGATCGTTTCACCTTATATAGAGATTCTTGCTTATCAGATAAACATGTGCATAGTATCCCAGATTTTGGTTATATAGTAGTCAGTATGGGGGTGTGAAACAACTTTTGTTAGTGTAACTTCACTTACACACACATAGACACACATCTGCCTTTCAAGTGTAAAATTTATCTTACAGAATCTAGGTTTTCATCTTGCATACTTTTGTACTTAAAAACAAAGTATAACATTCCAAATCCTAAGGTGGTGTTCAGTCATAATAAAGACAGCCTTCTCACTAAAAGAATATTTATCAAGGGCCTTATTGAACCATGCGGTTATCTTTTTAAATCCTCCCAAGGGCTCTACAAGGTAGATATTGTTATCCCCATGCAAATGATAAGCTAACTGAAGGTCTGAGATGTTAAAGGACTTGGCTAATGTCACAGCTTTTAAGTGGTAAAGCTGGGATGGATTCAGTCACGGCAAGCTCTAAAGGCAGCATTGAGTTTCAGAAGGCAGAATGTCAGTGTGGTCCTTGGACCAGCTGCCTCAGTGTCTCCTGGGAGTGTATTAAAATGCAGAATCCTGGGCCCCAATATCATAGGATCTGAATCTGTATTTTAAGATGATCAGGTGACTTACATTCACATGAAAATTTGAGAAGGGGTGTATGTTTCTTTTCTTTTTTTTTTTTTTTTTGCCGTACTTGGGTCTCTCACTGTTGTGGCCTCTCCCGTTGCGGAGCACAGGCTCCGGACGCGCAGGCTCAGCGGTCATGGCTTACGGGCCCAGCCGCTCCGCTCAATGTGGGATCTTCCCGGACCGGGGCACGAACCCGTGTCCCCTGCATTGGCAGGCGGATTCTCAACCACTGCGCCACCAGGGAAGCCCCAGGGTGTATGTTTCTTAAAAAATAACTTCCGGGCAGTTAACTATCAGACATTGAAAGCATTCTATTTAAGACCCTTTTCATCTTTGGGCCTTTGTGATTTTTACCTAATTACAGATTAGATTATAGTTCATTATCCTTCAGCTGTTTTGCTTCTGTATCTGGCTTTGCGCTAGTCTGACAAGGGTCATGTGTCGTGCTGGCTTCTGTGAAGTTTCTTAGTGATCTGTTTTGGTGGTATTATTGTTAGTTTATTATTGTTAGTTAAAATGCCCTTAGGACTATAAAACAAGAAAAATTGATTCTGTCCTAACTGCTTGATCTTTCCATGTATTCAGGTAATCTTCTTGTCACATCCCTTGCCAGACTTACCTTTGCTTGTTTAATTCTTGAAAAAGGTTGACTTTTTCCTTGTCTACTAGTTCACATCATTAGAATGACTTGCAATGATAAAACCTACTTAAAACAGGCAAGATAAAAGGAAAAATTATAGAAACAAGTTTAAGAAGCTGAAACATATTTATATTAAATGAATATGAAATGAATTAGTTGCTGCCATTGAAAACTGAATTCTCCTCTTTCGGGCAGTGAAGTCAAACAGGGGAGTGTAAGAGGCTGCCGAGCTCTCAAAGTAGGATGAATAGAATCATTCATGTTCATCTGGAGAGAAACACATTTTCCTGCAACTGAATACTAAGAGGAATATATTAGGTGTCTCTTTGTATAAAAGGTCGTAATGTAACATGACGTATAATGTCATATTTTTTGAAAAAGAAAATGAAAAGAATTTTAAAAATATACCTTTCTCATGTTAGTCTTCAATAAATGCTAAGGTCATGAAATTTAGATTTTGTGAAGTGATTTTGGGGAGGGAATGAAAGCAGTATGATGATAGTATATTGTTTCTTGATGATTAAACAGTTGAAATAGAGTGACAAGAGCTTGAGAACTTTATCTAAATGTGGAATTTAACATGACGTTTGGACTGAGCCTCCCTCTTGCATAAGGTATATCTGAAGTGGGCTTTTTTGGCAATCAATTCTGGATTTTCAGATGAGTGTGTAAAGTAATAAAATGTTCTGCTATTGGCTCAAGGAGGCTTAGAATACCAGGCATGTCTGTGGGAATGTTGACATCTCATTGTGAAAAGCATTTTTCTTTTCTTTGTGGGAACTCTCACTGTTGCAAACCTCTTCTGATTAGATAATGGAGGAGACCAGTTTTTTGAGAGCATGTAGGTTAGTCAGTCAGCAACCCTGTAACAAAAGAAGCAAATCTCAAGTATCTTTCCCAGAATTGTTATGGATGATTATTAAGGACTATGGCTACATGAATATATATATTGGGTTAACCAAAAAGTTTGTTCGGGTTTGTCCATAAGATATGTTATGTAAGATATTATATATTTGGCTGAAAGCAGAGTTTTTTAAAAATGAAAAATCCAGTCAACCATGTTTGGATCATTCAACATTAAACCATTTGGAGGCTCAGTTTTTTTCCAGTTTCTTTCTAAACAGTGGAATAATTATTGAACCAAGCATGACTCAAATCTCAAGGTGTTCCCAAACTGGTAAGGGAATAAAACTCTCTTAACCCTTATATAAGTAGAAATAATGTTTTATACGTTTATATTGCAAATAAGGATACAGCCCTAAAAAAACTGGTTGATATTTTACCCCAGAATCATTGGAAATACTTGGTAAAAGTGCAGAAAGATAATTCATGTGAGTACCAAAATCTCCATCTTAAACAAAACCCCGAGGTGATTCAGATGCAGGAGTCTTTGGTGGACACTTTGAGAAATAATGGATGGGAATGGTAACCTTATATTTAATGGAATGACTGGTCATTTTGGGTACGTGGAGACCCAGTTAAAGTGTAATGACTAAGGTCATCTGTAAAGACTGATCTTAATAATCACCTTACAATTTTATTTGAAGCAAGTTATCCATGTTAATCTCCGGGCATGAAATGTAATGATCTGTTTTATTATTGTTAATTTATGCTCAAGCTTCCTTTCGCTCTTCTTTTTAACCATCATAACAATTATACAGGCTAACTATTTGCCTCAGGGAGATGCTGTAATAGGACTAATTAAATATTTAATATTTTAAAGGACTTAAACAACCTTGTAAGTAATACGTTAAGAGGAGATAAAATCATGATGTTCCCTTCAGTTGCAGGAACGTTAATGAAGCCCTGGGATCAGGCATCCCTTTAATGCCCATGTCTTGTATCTGTCCGGAGGCAGGAGAGCATAATGGTTAAATTAATGGCTTTGTAACTCATGGCAGATCTTCGACTTCCTATCTGTGAGGCCTAAAGCAAATTGCTTAGCCTTTGTAAGCCAATTTCTTTTTTGTCACCTATAGCGTGGTAATACAATACCGTCTACCTTTCTGGATTGTTGTGATGGCATATAATATATGTGTCCAATAAAAGAAAGTGGTTTTTATTAATATGAATTAATCTCATAGACTACAGATTTACCAAATTTGAGACTCTGTGCAGAGGATGGAGACTTATTGTAGATATGTATAGTCGGTACAAAAATGCCCTCACTGGGGCTTCCCTGGTGGCACAGTGGTTGAGAACCCGCCTGCCAATGCAAGGGACACGGGTTCGAGCCCTGGTCCGGGAAGATCCCACATGCCGCGGAGCAACTAAGCCTGTGCGCCACAACTGCTGAGCCTGTCCTCTAGAGCCCACGAGCCACAACTACCGAGCCCGCATGCTGCAACTGCTGAAGCCCGCGTGCCCATGCTCCACAACAGGAGAGGCCACCACAATGAGAAGCCCGCGCACCACAACGAAGAGTAGCCCCGCTTGCCACAACTAGAGAGAGCCCATGTGCAGCAACAAAGACGCAATGCAGCCAAAAATAAATAAATACAATAAATAAATTTTTTAAAATGCCCTCACTGCCGTGGAAGAATCACAGAATCATCAAATGTCAGCATATAGAGATCATATAGGATATTATTCATTTTCTAGGTCACAGGTTAGTAAATGAATCTAAATTCATAGAATGTTTTCATCATGATTTTTTTTAAATGGCATCTTAGTTTTTCAAAGTTCACACAGAAAAAGGAACTAGACAAACCAAGATCTAGAAAAGTTATCCTTT